TTTTTTCAGCTACAAGGTGAGAGAGTCCTAATTCAATGTTATCATGTAGAAAAAAGGGGATTTCTGCAGAGGACACACATGTCTGATACTAGATCATCAGCTGCTCATTGTTCCATTAAAAGCTGAATTGATGAAATAATACAACGATGTTTTTATCTTTCTTTCTTTTCTTTTTTTTTTTACTCTAAAAGACTGTATCCACAACTAGGTGTTAAAAAAAAGGGCGATCTTGTAACGGGATTTCTCAAGTTGCTCAAAAGGATAAAACAAAAACACGTGGATGTGGAAAAATAACATGAGAGGAAAAAAAACACGTATCATGACATTGGACGTGAAACTTTTACCCTATTTTTTTTTTTTCTTTCTCGTGACAGCCAGATTGCTCAATCATCTCCTCGAACTGTGCAAACCGGTGAGAACTTCGGACGCGGTGTTGGTGGCACGTTGCGTGGAGAAAAACAGGATTCTGTGCAGACAAATCATCATCGCCACGTGAACGCGCGCACAATCACTCCCCCCCTCCCGCGCGCCACCTCTCTCGTGCAACAGCAGCCTCCGGGACTATAAAGAGCAGCAGCCACCGTCCTGGGACTCACGGAGGAAACTCAACCTCTCAGGTGAGTGAACAGCAGCTCAGAGGAGCTCTTTCAATCGCAACTTTTAAATCTTATTTTGGTAAATTGTTTTTAAATGTGCTCTGTTATTTCTATATTTATACACATCAGGTCGTTTTTTTTTTGTTTTATGAAAATTGTGTTCATCTTAAAGCATGTTTAGGTTTTATCTTCTATTTTTTAAAAGTTGATTTCCATTATTTTGTCAATTTAAAATGCTCTGTATGTTTCCCATGTGTTTCTCAGGTGTATCTGTCTGTCTAACAACCATGAAGGCTGTAGGTCTGATCCTTGCTCTGTTCGTCGTCGCCGGTGAGTCCACTGCTGGTTTACGATCTGCCCATATCATGCTTTACTGGATGAGTGTTAACATATTTCTTTGTGCTGACCATCACAGGCTGCAACGCCCGTGTTGTGCGCCAGGCTGATGCCACCCCAGACCGCTGGGAGGACACCGTGACTCGTTTCTGGGAGTACGTCTCTGAGCTGAGCCAGAAAGCTGATGGAGTCGTGGATAACCTCAAGGCCTCCCAGATTAGCAGGGAGTTAGAGTATGTCAATTTACTGTTCGTTCGTCTTCTTTCTTTCCTTTCCTTAGTTCCACAGTTCCACATCCTTCTCCTGCATGCTTCTCACCCTCTCTCATGTCTTTGCTCCTCTGCCTCCAGCACTCTGATCACCGACACCATGGCCGAGCTCACAACCTACAGAGATGACATCCAGACCAAGCTGGCCCCCTACGCCGACACCTCCGCCGGCCAGCTGTCTCAGGACCTGCAGCTTCTGGCCAACAAACTGCAGAAGGACATGCTGGACGCCAAGGAGCGCAGCACTGAGTACATGGGTGAGCTCAAGACCATGATGGAGCAGAACACCGACGACGTCCGCAACCGCATCAACAACTACAGCCACAAGCTGAAGAAGCGCCTGAACAAAGACACCGAAGAGATCCGCAAGTAAGTTGGGACGGGGAGCATTCAGACTTGCAATTGGAGTTCCTCACTTTTATTTCTGTTAATGTGAAATGTCTTATTTTCATTTAAGCACCGTCGCCACTTACCTGGGCGAGCTGCAGTCCCGCACCTCCCAGAACCTGGAAACCATGAAGGGTCACGTTGAGCCCTACGTCTCACAGGCCAGCGACAGCGCCTCCAAGAAGCTGGGCGACATCTCCTCCCTGCTGAAGACCCAGGCCGAGGGTCTGGGACAGCAGCTCGAGGTCCAGGCCGAGGGCATCAAGACCCAGCTGGAGGCCACTGCCCAGGAGCTGCGCACATCTCTGGAGGGCAAGATTGATGAGCTGACAGACTTACTCTCCCCCTACGCCACCAACATCCGCAAGCAGATGGAGGACATCATCGAGAAGGTCAAGGAGACCACCGCCTAAAGAATGACTCTGGGGGGTTTGTTAAGGGTTGTAGATGGTTGGTGGTAGTAGAAGAAAGAATGCATAGACCACTAAATTCTGTATACCCTGGTAAAGAAAAAACAAAAAAAAAGGAGTTGAGAGTTACTGATAATCTCCACATTGTATGCTCTAATGTTCAGGATGGGAGGGTTGACTGGAGGAACAGGGGAAGACGGGTTTTCTTCTTCTTCTGCGTCGTCACCCTTTCGACTCTCTTGATCACTGAACACAAGCACCGCAGTTTAAACACAACCATCAAAAACGAGACAATTATTTGTAATATGCTTCGCTTTTCTACTTTGAATAAACTGTTCTATCAATCTATACCCACAACGCTCGAGTCAAGTCTTCCACTTTGGGTGCAGATGTATACCTGCTGAGTTTTAAGGGATTCCAGCATCAAACACGAGTGTCTCTCATTTCAATAAACGCACTGAATGACGATCAAAAGACGGGGTCACGTACAGCAAAGCGTCTGCTGGTTTCTACTAGAGGTGATGCCGAACCATTTTTTGTTCTTTGTTGTGCTTCACGGAGAAGAAGTGAAATGTTAAAAAAAACGACTACACAACAAAAAATGACAATCAGTGAGTAAAGTGTGATGCTGCCTGTCTGTTCTTCACAAGTGTCCCTTGTGTTTCACATGTTGTACGCCCACCATGCTGCTCTCCGTAAGTGCGCTGCCAGTGTGCTGAACGGTGCTGAGTGAATAAAAACAAAACCTAGAAAAGATTTTCCACTGTTTGTTTCTTTATTAGGCAATTAAAGAGTGATCTATTAGGTTCAGTTATGGTTCTGGGTGGAGACTTCATGAAGCTGGCGGTGATCCACTATTACACTTTATGGGGCAAATAAGCTTTAAAAAAATGTCATAATAATCCCCAGGAGAATGCCAGACTTTCACCAGGTGGTAATCATACTGAGCATTTAAACACTTAGATTACACCAGTGTTTCAATGCTGCACATTCACTCGACATGTCCCTACATTTGGCAGTGGTTGCATAAGGCTACTGGGGGGGTAATTACGTAATTGCAACCGTAAAGCAGCGGAGCCGAGGTTCTCCTGGGTGCTCCAGTTTCCTCCCACTCACCTATTGGGTTACTTGACAACTGTAAATTGCCCATAGGTGTAAAACACAAAGCATGAAGGGGGTGTCTGTCTCTACTTGTCCACTCTGTGATTGGAAAGGTGACCTCTCCCCGACGTGCCCGACCTCTCAAAGGCTCAAGCTACGGACCCCCACCATTCTCACCAATTGTGAGGCTCTAGCTAACCGTAAAAGGATATGTTTAAAACAGCAAAGTTTGCCTTTTTTTTCTTTTTGCTTCTCGTGCCTGTACTCCACCCCAATCCTCTGTATTTCTCTGTTTATTCTCCACACACATCCACCCTCCACATCCCTCAGCCTAATGTTTTTCTAGTCCAGACTTGTTAAGATCTGCTTCCAGATTCCTTTGTCTTGATCCCAGCAGGTATTTGGGAACATTCTGTGCCACAGATTGAATGATCTTTATGGTGACACTGTGCCATTTCTGCCTTAATCTTGACTTCAATCATATTATAAAGCCATGCATTTGTATGTTCACGTGTCAACAGTTAGAAATTATGCAAAATGACTGTTTGTTGGTTGTGAACTCAGCACATACAGGCATACAAACTTTGTTTTTTTCCCTGCCATTAGACCCCTTTACACAGTTATTCTTGTCTGCCTCTAAACTGTTACCCATTAAATGAAGGCACACACCATAAATAAAGAGTGAACTGGTTAACTTTCTATTTGAAGATACATTTTCTCAAAACAGAAACTTAATTCAACCACTTGTTTGATTGGAGCCACACAACCAAAAGCAAAATTATCATTTTTAAGTTACCGGATTGCTTCACATCTGGTCCCTTCTAAGAGAAAAAGATGGCCATGACTTGACTTATACTCAGATCACTCTCCCAATCAAGAAACCTAAAAAAAAAAAGCTTATCAAACACAGCAGGATCTTCTCTTTGAAGTTCAGCACAGAGGCCAGTAGAGGACACCATTTGTCCCCTGTTCATCTTCTCTCCTCTGACCCCTCCACTTGAATGCACTCTGCACAAAGATCCAGCTGTGTTTTCTTTATTGGAACAGTAAGTAAACTATATTTGACTGGTAAAGAAACACATACTGTGCTCCAAGAACAGAGCACATATCTGAGGCTGATTGTAAGTTTGCAGCTGGGAACTGCTGAACAATCACTTGAGGTGTGCACAATTAAGATAAAATGAGATGTTAGACATGTCATGGTCTGACAATGCGATGCAGAGTGGTTTAAAAGAAATGAAGTTGTTGTTACCAGACTTGTCCTACATTAATAATGATTTGAATCTAACTGGAGACCTTTGTTATGTCTCTTACTGTCCACACATTTCAAAAAATGCTCCCAAAACAACAACTTATTGTTCAACATATGGCAAAAAAGACATAGTTTATTGTACATCTGTATGTATTTGATAGATGTGCATGAGCTATTTCGTTTCTCCATAAAAACCTCCTTGGTTTATGCACAAACATGTTTGCCATTTCTATCTGTGTTAAAGGGCATTGCATGTAAAGCGAAAGAATGACTAACTGTATGACTCCGTGTTTATCCGCTATTAAATCACCTGTTTCGGGAACCAGTGTTTATTTTGAAACCGACAAGTGAAACTCCTACAGTACACTATCAGTTGTGTAAAACGGACCAGTCATGGATGGTGAAAACAGGAAAACCACAAGCATCCTGCAAGCTCAGCACTTCTGCGCCGTCTGCTCCTATAGGGTGTCTGCGCTCAGAGCACTGCCCAGCAACAACAACGGGGAAAAAAAAAAAGCAAAAAAATTAGGAAAAAAAATCCCAGCAACTTAGCAGGTGCTAGCTAGCTCATGACTGCTAGTAACCCCTCCAACGTCTCCCCTGCAGTGATTTTACCTCCTTTTACAACCCCCCCTTCCTCCTCTTCCTCCATCCTCCCCATCCCCTTCAGAGCTGGCACACAACATCAGTCACCACAGGGGCCTTGGCCAAACACAAAACAGCCTTTCTGTAAGCTTGTTATTGCAAATTGGGAGCACGCAAGACATGCTCTTTCACGCCCTATGCCTCCTACAATTATTCAAGAGGAGTTTATATGCACGCAAGCTCAAGCTCATACATAAACTCACTGGCCACTTCATTACAAAAGAGATGGAGATTTAGTCTTTCGGAGGTAATGTGCGAGCGCTGAGGAATGTGAAGGCTCATTTAACTCGATTGTAGGCTATTCATCATAACAATAGCGACTTATAGGCCAAGTCATCAGCAACGAATGGACATTTGGCCTTTCGGAGCAGACTGCTTGGTGTGAAAACAGATAAGTTCAGCAGTGATGAGGTCTTTAAATTGTCAAACGCAGACTTCCTGGTGCTTAGTCAGGTCATAGTTGTAATGAAGGTTTACTGAAGTTCATCCAACTGCACTGTTTTGTTTTTTTGTTGCATGCTAGAAGATGTACCAGAGTTTTTTTTTTTTCTCCTCACTTCTCTTTTTGAGAAACCGAAGGTCAGACATCAGATGAAATTCTAAATAAAGTGGCAAATGGAAAACTACACCAAATAAGAAAGGGAAGTTTCAGAAAAGTGCACAGAATGAAACTGACTTTTGCCTCCAAAACAGAACACACAAGGCGACATTTTGAAATGTAGGTCTTGTGGTTTAAGGGATAATATTTAATCAGCAAAGTTTAAAACATTACATTAATTAAAAGACAATATGAAAATGTAGCATTAGTTAAAAGAAGGGGAGATTTTTATAAATGATGCAACACTTTGGTTGTTATGAAGAGCTTTTCTCATATTTCACATACAGAACTGTTACGCTTATTAATGCAACTACCCAGCAGCATTCGTTCCATCTAATATAACAGCACAGCACCATTGCTTCATACATCAATGATAGTGACTGAATTATGGATTAATATAACACCAGCCATCATGCAGTACAGTGCAGGACTTTACCTCGTCATGAAGCACTTCTATTGTGATAATTACCCTTTTATTGAAGTCGTGCATCCAGATACTTGTCCCACTATTACATAAGTATGAGGTCTGCGAGATATCAAACCCACTAAATGAATGCACAATGGAAACCAAAGAATTACAAACAAGCAAAAGAAAAGCTCACGTAATTTTACATACAATCTGCTTTATATTGGGAGAAAAGAAAAAAACAGTTCGAGCTGTCAAATCCAATCCAGTCTCACCAATGAACACTAAAACCTTGATAAGAAATTATCATTACATGTAAAGTTGCTCCACTCTATATCAATTCTTGGCCAACGCGTCAGGTCCAAAGGAGCTTCCAAATAGCTTAGGTTGATTAATTTTATCGAGGGCGAACTATGTTCTTCTGCATCACATGTGATTAATTATGATGTTGCTGGGGGACAAACTCTGAACCCTAAGAGAAGCATATCCCTAAACATAATCAGATTTCACACTAATTCTCTTCAGTGTGGCCTTTGCCTGTCTTTAGCTGGTTAGAATGCTCATCCACAGGTGGTGACTTTTGATTTCTCTCGTCTCTGTGCTGCAAATCACACATTTTTAAATCTTAGTGGGATTTGGGAATTTACTGTACAGCAGGTGTTGTTTTTATTTATTTATTTTTTTGATTGCTCGCATTGGTGTCTTTATCCTGATCAGCATCTTTTAATGGAATTTTATTGTGCTGGTCAATAAAAGGGGCAGTGACACGCCAAGGTCACCACGTGTACATGTTGATCTAAGTCTGGTGTTGTGCGTCACGGTCCCAACAGCCTTATAAAGAGGAACACACAAAGGAGCTCAAAGGCACTCGATTTTTCTACTCTGAGACGAGCAAAAAAAACACAACAGGTATGTTTTGTATTTTACCACTTCTAAAAAAAAAACATGTCATGCCACTGTTTTTTAAAGGATACAGACGCAGAAATGTAACTTAATAACCAGGAGCATCAATATATTCTCAAATAGCCTTGCTGTCTGAAAGTTGTACTGTGATCTAAATGTTTCTTATTATTGTCGAACTTAGTAACCACAAACCACAGGAATCTGAATGTAGATGAAGTGGATAGGACGTGTTAATGGTTCATGTAATGGATGTAAAGGGAGCTGTCCAGTCGCTGTGGTGCTGACATATGATGGCGCTACTATAAAAGAAAGAAAACCAATAATGCTCATCTTCTGCCTTTTTGGTCATTGAGCAACTTGTGCGCAACAGTGGGAGAAGAAAAAAACCATCTGTCTCTGCTCTTCCTCAGTAACCAAGATGAGACTGTACCTCGCGGTTGCCGTGCTGCTGCTGGCTTTGGTCGCATACACAGGTAGGTGTTGCGTTCGTCAGGACTTTTAAAACTTCCCCGCTGCGTCTTCCCACCCTCCTCCCCCCAACCCTCTTTGCATGTTGCGTAAATCGTCTTGGTTTGTCGCTTTCATGTGCAGAGGCTCAGGATGACACCTTCTCCAAATTTACCGAGCACCTGACCGACGCGGGGAGGAAGCTGCAAGAGGGCGCCACGAACACGTACGAGAAGATCCGTAACAGCGACGCCGTCAACAACATGGGGTAGGCGCACGCACGCACGACATGGAACTTTACGCAGATGATCGCATGGACTCTATGACTGTCTAACGTGCGATTATTCTCCTCAGGGATTTTTTCAACGGCCTGATTGCCAAAGTGAAGAGTCTGGGGGATTCTA